ATCATGTGAGCGCCTTTAACGACCGCATAACATAAGTACAGCTCGCCCTACCCCCCACAGCCCGCTTCCCAAAACACTGAACCTAGGTCCGACAAGACAGTGCATTCTACGTGTTGTGGTTTCAGACTTCTTAACACTTTGTGGTGTCCCCGAACAACGCTCTGTCACTGCAGACACGCAGCGCTACCCTCTGCAATGAACTCATTTCCTACGAAAGATTCCAGTCGGCTGTCGTATATGCACCAACAAACATCAGTACCTCTTACCAGCGAGGTATCAATTTCGGCGGCAGCTACTCCCAGTACAAGAAATAACACTATCGCATAACCCTGTATTAATACCAAACTACAGCGGCACACCCCTCTAACTTTAACCAAGGTCGACCAGGCCAACCAACTATGAATGAAAAGTTGCGTAGTGTGTAAATGGGCGGAGCTGACCCCGATGGGCCTGAGATTGTGTGTTGTTCCGATAATATATATATATCTTATAGGACATTGATTTTTTTGTGTGTGTAATGGTTGGTTGTTGTAAAAAAAATGTATTTATTATGTACCCGCCTACCCACCATTGATTAAATTCCAGTTCAACTATACCTTCTTCTGTAATTAATTTCTAAGTAAATGGGAAGCCAGATTCTCTGCAGCCTACACGGGTGCGTTAGTTGTTTTCTTCTTAGAATACAACAATCATGTCTCAGTGAGCGTCGCCTGGATAACGAAACTTGCAGCAAAACTCAGGTCCTGGCACAAAGTTACAGCCACAGCTTACAGCCGTTGAACAAAGAAGAAGAAGGTAACCGAGCCTCGGCCTCCGACTTGAAATAGTTGATTAAATAATTTGAAAACTCCAACGTGATGTTAGTTTTACATAAATATAACATTAAAAAAAAATTAAAAAAAAATATTGTGGTAACAAGAATTCACCATAAAAATGCATAAGGAACAATTTTGTACAACAATAAATTAATATAGTAATTATATTGAAACATTTCTGTCTGCGTTTTGTGTGCGATGTTTGTGTTTTATTGTTATTTTCTAGTGAAGTTATCGTTGCACATACCCCTTAAAAAAATTATGACTGTACTGTAGTATTCTATTGTAGTATATCGTCCCTAAATGTTAAAATTTCCACAGCTTGAGAAATGTTGTCTAAACATTGAAATCACAACACTAGGGACAAATGGTTTGGTGCTCCATCTCCCTATCAGCGGCAATCGCAGTTCCAGTTCCTGTGGCTTTTTTCCCTGAGATTTGAGGGTCGGCCAGATCACAGTATCAACCTTCTCAGACCAAGACGGACCATCATCACTTGAGCAAACTGACCTTTTTCTGCCCTTGTTTACCACTTTCAAGGCTGGTAGTAGTGGTGGTAGTGGTGGTGGTGGTGGTGGTAGTAGTGGTAGTAGTATAGTAGCAGTAGCAGCAGCAGTAGTAGTAGTATAGTAGTGGCAGTAGTAGCAGCAGCAGTAGTAGTAGTAGTATAGTAGTGGCAGTAGTAGTAGCAGCAGTAGTAGTAGTATATTAGTAGTAGTAGTAGTATAGTAGTAGTAGCAGCAGCAGTAGTAGTATAGTATTAGCAGCAGCAGTAGTAATAGTATAGTAGTAGTAGCAGTAGTAGTAGTAGTAGTAGTAGTAGTAGTAGTAGTAGTAGTAGTAGTAGTAGTAGTAGTATAGTAGTAGCAGTAATAGCAGCAGCGGTAATAGTAGTAGTAGTAGTATATTAGTAGTAGTAGTAGTAGTATATTAGTAGTAGTAGTAGTAGTATAGTAGTAGTAGCAGCAGCATCAGTAGTATTAGTAATAGTAGTAGTATAGTAGTAGCAGTAGTAGCAGTAGTAGCAGCAGCAGTAATAGAAGTAGTAGTATATTAGTAGTAGTAGGAGAGTAGTAGTAGTAGCAGTATAATAATAATAGTAGTAGTAGTAGTAGTAGTAGTAGTAGTAGTAGTAGTATAGTAGTAATAGTAGCAGTAGTAGAAGCAGCAGCAACAGCAGCAGTAGTCGTAGCAGTAGTAGTAGTAGAAGTAGTAGTAGAAGTAGTAGTAGAAGTAGTAGCAGTAGTGAAAGTAGTAGTAGTAGTAGTAGTAGTAGTAGTAGTAGTAGTAGTAGTAGTAGTACTAGTAGTAGTAGTAGTAGTAGTAGTAGTAGTAGTAGTAGTAGTAGTAGTAGTAGTAGTAGTAGTAGTAGTAGTGCGACTTTGTGCGTTTTTTCTTCTTCAGAGGGCGAGTGCAGGCTTATTTTAAGTTTCAAGACTGAAAGTTGCATGGCTAGTGAATTGTCCAGGCTAGGGACTTAGTTTTGTCCCAGGTAGAAACAAAATCCTATGACTCTAAGACGCAGTTCAACCCGGGATTCCTGAATGAGAGAATCCTTCCTCTAACTGCTTCACCAAATCAACAACCGACATTGGTCAGTCTTTTACCAGTGGATGTCTTTATTTATACTTGAGCTTACTTTGGTCGCAGATCCACGGTTGGCGTAACCCATTTATGGTTGACCATTATATTATAAAATAGTAGGTGTTTTACAGCACATCGCTCTCATTAGGGCCCAGCACCAGAAAGTATGTCTGTTGTACAGCACGTTGTTCTCACCACGACCCAGTACCAGAAAGTATGTCTGTTGTACAGCACGTTGCTCTCACCACTCCACAGTACCAGAAAGTATGTCTGTTGTACAGCACGTTGCTCTCACCACTCCACAGTACCAGAAAGTATGTCTGTTGTACAGCACGTTGTTCTCACCACGACCCAGTACCAGAAAGTATGTCTGTTGTACAGCACGTTGCTCTCACCACGGCCCAGCACTAGAAAGTATGTCTGTTGTACAGCACGTTGCTCTCACCACGCACAGCACTAGAAAGTATGTCTGTTGTACAGCAGGTTGCTCTCATTAAGACACAATGTCTCTGCCAGCTCTTCCGCCTCAAGAACTTCTAGGAGCATCATCGGTTTTTTAAGACTATTGTGAAAAGCACACAACATTATGTGATTAAAGAAAGAAACAAAAAACATTTGTGGTTGCCAATTCTGATAGGAAAATACTCTCAAACATGTAGACTACATACCACACACTTCCAAAACAATATTTAAAAATCCACAAACCATAAAAAGTAATTAAAATGTTGTCAATATTCTCTAGAAACCCTTACATTCCGGAGCACTTTCTGTTTCTGCTTGTCAGCGGAAATGATCGGAGTCAATAGTAAATATCCGCTCTGAAATAAAACTATTATTCTCATCAACGGTTTAGCTATGAGGTGTTCTAACTATTGTGGTACAGCTCGTTGAGCTATGCTTCTAAGTTGTCTTAGAATACAGTTTTGTGTGTGTGTGTGTGTGCTCATTATGTTGCTCAGTTTTATATGTTGTTATCTTATCGTAGTGAAGTCACTGCACTTAGGGAATTCCTATATGTGCTCAGTCCTTAGATGCAGAAACCACTCTAAGGTACTTTAACTGATACTTCCCAGAGAAGTTGTTTAAGTCTTCTTTACTGACTTCGATATAGGCATACTTTATCAAGCTTCACACCCAGGTCACGAAATCATGTTAGCGTCAGAGGTTCGCGTCACTATTCACTAGCCTTTCTCTATACAGGGCGGATGATATTGTCTCTGTCCACACTTCTCAAATGCAGGGGTGCACAGATTGTCAGTCGGTCGGCCTGTGCAGTACCTGTGACTTCAGCATGCCCAGGTGGGGAGCCTAGTTTTATATGCCTTTGATCCACGGAGAGCCACATTTGATCTGATTATGTTTTCAGTCCATAACCACCAGGGACTGCATGCCAGCAGTTGTCACTACAGTGAATATACACAATCATCAACATAAACCACGTCTGCCGTTAAGCGGCGTGGGGAGGAATAATTTGCAATCTAAAGCACGTTGGTTGCCACTGGCTATTGGCATGTCGTAAAGGCGTAGATTGTCTTTAATGTTGTCGATCCATCGTGTTCAAGGCATTCCTCTTGTTCTTGTAGCTGATCTCCTGAGATGTAGTGACTGTGATGGTATTTGATCTTGCTGCATTCTAACGAAGTGACTAAACCACTTGATCTGCTATTTCTTTGATGAACCTAGTACAAGGTGTCGTATCTATAGTCAGTCTGATAGTATCGGTATACACTCGATTTCAGCTGGTTAGCTTGGCGGCTTTTCTCAGGTATCTTATCTTGCAAGTGGTAATTTTGCGTACATGGTCTTTAGATAGTGTCCATGCTTGGCACTGGTAGCTCAATGTTGGAATGAATATACAGCATGCGACAATTCACAAACATTTACACCATATTATGTAATAATTACATATGCATTTTGTGTGTGTGTGTGTGTGTGTGTGTGTGAATCCCAAGAGAAACATATTCACACAAATACGGCCCACACACAGTGAGATCTCACACAAATACGGCCCACACACAGTGAGATCTCACACAAAAACGGCCCACACACAGTGAGATCTCACACAAAAACGGCCCACACACAGTGAGATCTCACACAAATACGGCCCACACACAGTGAGATCTCACACAAAAACGGCCCACACACAGTGAGATCTCACACAAATACGGCCCACACACAGTGAGATCTCACACAAATACGGCCCACACACAGTGAGATCTCACACAAATACGGCCCACACACAGTGAGATCTCACACAAAAACGGCCCACACACAGTGAGATCTCACACAAATACGGCCCACACACAGTGAGATCTCACACAAATACGGCCCACACACAGTGAGATCGCACACAAATACGGCCCACACACAGTGAGATCGCACACAAATACGGCCCACACACAGTGAGATCTCACACAAATACGGCCCACACACAGTGAGATCTCACACAAATACGGCCCACACACAGTGAGATCTCACACAAATACGGCCCACACACAGTGAGATCTCACACAAATACGGCCCACACACAGTGAGATCTCACACAAAAACGACCCACACACAGTGAGATCTCACACAAGAAAGAGAAAATACAGGAAGCAATTATTGAGCAAAAAGCAAACATGTCCGATGAGAGGTCAAGACTACTAGAACTGCCACAAATATGTTCCAAAGAATTGAATGTACACACACGCAGTTTCTACTTCTAGCATTGTTCCTGTTGTCAATATTTTCTCCTTGAGAATTATCAAATCGAGGGTTGGTCATTTTGGGGGAGCTTATTTGCGAATCTGCGCCATTTTCTGGGCCATAAGGGATATGGTCATCTCCGTTGACCGCTGGTCCGGTGACTGAGTCGTCGTGCTTGATGTCCGCATGCTCTCCGTGGTTGTATTCCTGGTCAGGCTTGTTCCCGAAGTTGGCTTTGGGATGGTATGTGTTGGTAGTGGTCGTAGGACGATGACGAGAAAACAGATTACGACACTGCAGGTTTTCGCCGCGAAGGATGGAGAATTGAGCCTGGATGAATTCGGATTTAAGCATGGGGTTGTGTTCGAAGAGGAAGGTGTCTGCAGCTTTCATGACCTGTGCGGAGGAGAATTATACAAGTATTAGGTACATCAAATAGATCTGATGGCAACTACGGTCCTGAAAATCCATACTCTAACTGTGGATGACTTTTCTTAACGCCGGCGGGTCATGTAGTCACACTCGCCATCGTCACGGGCTGTGTTCCCATGCTCCCCATGGCACACTTCAACACTATGGTCTGAAAAGACGGAGAGTACCAACATGCCAGCATTTAATAGCATAGGTGAACCCAGTAGTCTTCCACGACCTTACCCACCCAGGACTCAAAGTTACATACACCTGCTGGTGTTGCCGTTAGGGTGCCCCTGTTAAAACCTTTTTGTAAGTTAAACGCGGTGTCTGCGGTTCGCCCTGTTGGCTTGGCATCCAGACTGACATTTCGTAACCTCAGGATGGCCACACCTTCAAACTGCTGCGGAGAGAAAAAGCCACTTTAGAAATTTATGAAAGATGTATTAGAAAGAGTCGTAACCATCCTAATAGACACCTTATAGAAAGTTGGAAATACAAAGAATAAAGCACAAATCGGTTTTACACTGTGTACATGAGGTACAGGACAAATACCACCTCCCAGAAAGACGTCAGAGCACTCAGAATGTTGCAAGAAACTTACCACCACAAGCTCGCTCTAAAGCTCCAGAAGTCAGGTTGAAATTGGCAGACGAAGAAACTGAACAGTCCGATCCAATCACCCTTATGAACTCATCACTAAAGACCATTGATTCTTACCCCGAAAAATGGATTCATGTTTATACTGATGGATCTGCATTCAAAGCCACAATTAAAGCAGGTTACGTGATCTCATAGGTTATCCCGATGGATCTATTGAAGAGATATTTGATGCATGCGGGAAATTCTGCTCAAATTATGAAGCTGAAATAATCGCACTGGAAACAGCAGTAGACCACCTAAAGACTGTAATGGATGTTTATCCATCAAAGGCCCACAATATTGTCATCTTCACCGATTCAGTGTCTGCTCTTCAAGCTCTGGAGGGCAGTGAACGCTGCAGAACTGACATAGCCAAGATAATCCTGGATGCTGATCAGCTTATTACCTCATACAACATCAGAATAGTGATGCAGTGGATTCCAGGCCACTCCGGCATACCAGGTAATGACAGAGCTGACAGACTGGCAAAGAAAGGAGTAACACAAGAACAACCACATACAGCGACAATCCTACAGACAGCAAAAACAACTATAAACAAAGAGACTTGGCTGAACAGATGGGCCATGGGAGATACTTGAAGAGAGGTTTATAGACACATGGCTAGCCCTGATCTTAACGACAGCATTAACCATTTAACAAGAAGGGACCAGGCCACCATCTTCAGGCTCAGAACACAAAATACTCCAGTCAATGGACACCTAAACAGAATACAGCCACAACACTCCCCAGAGTGCCAGCTATGTAACTACCCCTACGAAACTGTTGACCATCATCTCTTTGAGTGCCCAAAACTCAACGAGACTAGAAGAATGCTACTCCCTCCGAGACCAGACAAGTGGAACACCTTGTTCGGAGGAAAAGAACAGCTTGTGACAACATGTAAATTCCACTACATGGCACTGGGCCAAAGGGCGTAAGCTCACGCGCTGCTGGATCAATAACAACAACAACAACAACAACAACAACAACAACAACAACAATCAAACTGCTGCCTGGAGACAAGAAAAAACAAACACATACGGAGGTATACGCGAACACACCAGTCTTCAGCCTAACCCAAAGGGAGCATGTTACTTGTGATTAGGATGAAAAGGTCAGATCGGCTGAACCACAGCAGGGCGGTTACTTGTTAGTTTGACATCAGATGACCTTGAGGTCATCAGGCACCAAGCTGATGTTTCCAAGGACCGGCCGAGCACAAAGAGAGTTACATTTTGTAGCCTAGGCCCTAGGGTGGCAATATAACTTTTTATACAGAGTATCTGGTATCAAGGCTGAATTTTGGCGGAGCTGGGGGGGGGGGGGGGGGTGGGGGTAAGAGGAGGGGAGGGGGCACGAGGCGGGAGAAATGAGCGAAAGGAAAGACCTAGTTTTCTTTCAGGCAGGCTGTGATGAGAGCGACGTTCTGCAAAGGACCTGCCACATAATGATGATGGCTTCTCTTTTAGGTGGGAATAAAAATTTGACCAGAATCAACCGGTTGCGAACACGATTGGTTATAGCTGTGGTCTGGATTCTCTGTGCCAAATTCTTTGGCAAAGATTTGGTGTTGTGTCAAGTGTACTTACTGATTTAGTAATTGTTGAGCCATTATAAAAAAAATATATCAGTTTTCCCATTCCTGTGTTGTGTTGCTCATCTTTGCATAACTGGGTCCTATATTTTGGTCATTTGGTCCTAGTGGGTTTCCTTAATTAACTGACCTCCTGATTCAGGCAGTGATTGGGCTAAATCTAAATTGGGTTGCTCTGTTGTGTCCAGTTGAATAGTTTTATTGCCAAGGTGGTCAGTCCTGTTATCTTCATCTTGGCTTCAAATGTCTGGACGTATAGGAGACATAATAAACAAACCTGCAGGTAATTAGCAGCCTCTTATGGCAGTGGAGGATTTTGTAGTAAGCTATTTTCGTTCGGTACCGTGGTGAGACGTGATTTTATTGCAAAGACTATGCAAGGAAGCCTAAGAAGAAGAAGAAGAAGAAGAAGAAGAAGAAGAAGAAGAAGAAGAAGAAGAAGAAGAAGAAGAAGAAGAAGAAGAAGAAGAAGAAGAAGAAGAAGAAGAAGAAGAAGAAGAAGAAGAAGAAGAAGAAAATGAAAAAGCAGAAGAAGAAGAAGACGAAGAAGCAGAAGAAGAAGAGGAAGAAGAAGAAGAAGAAGAAGAAGAAGAAGAAGAAGAAGAAGAAGAAGAAGAAGAAGAAGAAGAAGAAGAAGAAGAAGAAGAAGAAGAAGAAGAAGAAGAAGAAGAAGCAGAAGAAGAAGAAGAAGAAGAAGAAGAAGCAGAAGCAGAAGAAGAAGAAGAAGAAGAAGAAGAAGAAGAAGAAGAAGAAGAAGAAGAAGAAGAAGAAGAAGAAGAAGAAGAAGAAGAAGAAGAAGAAGAAGCAGAAGAAGAAGAAGAAGAAGAAGAAGAAGATGCAGAAGAAGAAGAAGAAGAAGAAGAAGAAGAAGAAGAAGAAGAAGAAGAAGAAGAAGAAGAAGAAGAAGAAGAAGAAGAAGAAGAAGAAGAAGAAGAAGAAGAAGAAGAAGATGCAGAAGAAGAAGAAGAAGAAGAAGAAGAAGAAGAAGAAGAAGAAGAAGAAGAAGAAGAAGAAGAAGAAGAAGAAGAAGAAGAAGAAGAAGAAGAAGAAGAAGAAGAAGAAGAAGAAGAAGAAGAAGAAACAGAAGAAAAAAAAAGAAAAAGAAAAGAAGAAGAAGAAAAAGGAGGGAAAAGAGGAGAAGAAATGAAAGGAAAAGGATGGGAAAATATAAGAAGAAAATCTATCATGATGAGGAGGGAGGGATGCAGACTGACCTTGATGTGATGATCTGGTGTGAAAATCCACACCAGGTACTGGCCCATTCCTTTGACGAAGTTGATGGTCTTGGTCACCGCCAAATGGGTGTTGTTGTGGAACTGAAAGGTGGCCAGACAGCTGTAGTGTATGGGGATGTTTCTGTAGTCTTTGTTCTCGTTGGCTTCCGTGGAACAGTTCACCGGGCTGAAATTACAGAGATCAACACTAGACATCCACGTGTGGGTTTTTTAGCCCATTGTGGGGTGGGGTGGGGCAGGGGGGGGGGGGCAAGAATAGACCCACCACTGCCTCCCAAATGTCGTAATTGTGGGTGGGTGGAGGGGGGGGGGCGCTTACTTCTAAATCAGAGTGCATCTGTCTGAGAGGCAAGGAACCAACTATCTGCATACAGATAAGTCAGACCTGTAAAACGGATGTACAGGCACCACTCAGGTCTTGGAACTTGACCAATATCCAGAGGTGGCAGAGAGAAGCAAGACATTCTGCCGGAGTTTATAGCCGGTGAAAGCGAAGAAGAACAGTGGACAGATAAATCATCATCATCATGGTCCTCTTGCCGACACTCAACCGTCACGAAGTAAATCAAGACGGACATTACACTCAGACTGCTACTGGTGTCAGCTTAACTAGATACTGCTGGCTTCACAAGATTTGGCGGGAGAGAGCTTATAGGAATGTGCCGAGAGCTGTGATGTCGGTGCTCATCTTAACTCATCCTAATGAATCATTTTATATATAAATAATTAATGAACAGACAAAATCTCACTTGGCACTCATAGAAAGATGTAGAAAAATAGAAGGACACACCAGACAACATAAAAATCGAAAGCTATAGTTACTGTCCTGAGAATCGAACCCGTCACCTCCAAATGGCGTGAGCGCCCACATATGGAAACAAGCGGGCTAAGATGCATGACTAACCAGGCACCCCTTAGAAAGGTGTACTCATTTCATGTCTGTCGTGAAGCTTGAAAACCACAACTTTGGAATACGGACAACCACTGGTCTGCAGCTGCTGACACCACGACATGCTGTGTATGGGGCTGTGATGGATGTAAAGATATGGTCGAGGCGACCAGAAGAGCATCGTCTAGAACCCTGTTCCGCCTACACTCCTAAGGAAGTGAATGGGGAAGTGAATGAAGGAAGCCAATGTTTGAAGGAAGCCAATATGTAAAGGAAGTTAATGTGTGGAGAAAGCCAATGTGTGAAGGAAGCTAATGTGTGAATGAAACCAGTGTGTAAAGGAAGCCAGTTAATGAAGGAAGCCAATATGTGAATGTAGTCAATGTGTGAAGGAAGCCAGTGTGTAAAGGAAGACATTGAATGAAGGAAGCCAACTTGTGAAGGAAGCAAATGTGTGAAGGAAGCCAATATGTAAAGGAAGTTAATGTGTAAAGGAAGCCAATATGTAAAGGAAGCCAATGTGTAAAGGAAGCCAACGTGTAAAGGAAGCCAACGTGTAAAGGAAGCCGATATGTAAAGGAAGTTAATGTCTAAAAGAAGCCAATGTGTGAAGGAAGCCAGGGTGTAAAAAAAGACAGTGAATGAGGGAGGCCAACATGTAAAGACATCCAATGTGTGAAGAAAGCAATGTGTGAAGGAATCCAATGTGTGAAGGAAGCCAATGTGTGGAAGAAGTCAGTGTGTAAAGGAAGACAGTGAATGAAGGAAGCCAACATGTGAAGAAAGCCAATGTGTGTAGGAAGCCAACATGTTAAAGAAGCCAACATGTGAAGGAAGCCACCGTGTGAAGGAAGCCAATGAATAAAGGAAGACATTGAATGAAGGAAGTCAATGAATGAGGGAAACCAATGAATGAAGGAAGCCAATGTGTGAAGGAAGCCAATGTGTAAAGGAAGCCAATGTGTGAAGGAAGCCATTATGTTAAAGAAGCCAACATGTGAATGAAGCTAATGTGTAAAAGAAGCCAATGAATAAAGGAAGCCAATGTGTGAAAGAAGTTAGCCACTCACAGTTTGTACTTCTTAATCTCCTTCTTCTTTCGTTTCGCTTAAGATAGATTAATTATATATGTAATGTTGTCTTTAGTATGAACTTCACTGTGAGTTGTCATTCACTCAGCGACCCGTAAAGTTTGACTTGCACCGATGTTTCTCGTGGCCAAAAGATTTGCCTTGATGTGTTGTATTTGGGACAGTCTTGAAAGACATGATCTGTTGTCTCAGGTGCTAGTCCACATATACACATGGCTGATTCGCCAATCCTCAGTATTGTGTAAATGTGGCTGTGACGTCGATTGTGTCCTGTTTGAAGGCGTATAATAATAACTTGCTCTGGTCTGTCCATTATATGGTCATCGTCTTTTCCCGGTGTTGGTGACTTTCTCGTTCATTTGATTGTTCTCTTTTTCTGTTGATAAGAGACTGGTGAGTCAGGCTGTTCTTCATTTGCACCTTCCTTAGCTGGTTGATCAGCTCTTTCATTTCCGGGAACTCCACAGCGGGATGGTATCCACCTTACACCGTTGGTACTGTATGACTATAACTGTGAATACACACTTACCTAATAGTGAAATGGCTGGGAGAATGACGAGGTTCGTAGTTCAGACACCCTCCACAATGCTTCCCATCCTCGCGGAAAGCGATGCCGTTTTGCAGATGTGGCGGGAGACTACAGTGAACCTATGATTAATAGTTGATAAAATATGAACCTTTGAAATATACTGGCTTATTTACTATAACTGGCAAATTGATGCACTCCAGTTCGAGGTATTATTATAATAAATATCTTTTTCCTAAAGTCCGTGCCTTATGGGGTTGGGATTCATGTCTAAATACAACCTTCTGTCTCGTGTACTGTCAATCAACTCTGACACAAATGATCAAATGCCACGATGTTAAATAGTCCAGTATCTATTCTCTCGGTCTCCCTCTGCTCTCCCTCCCCTCTCCTTTCTTCCCCTCCCCTCCAAATTTCATACGGTCACGATGTACTCCAGTTTTCTCCTTCTCATCACATGACCAAAGAATGTAGATTGTCTCTTTCTGATGTGGACAATCAGTTCTTATCAATATATTCAGAATAATTATGCCACTAAAATGTAACAAAAAATACAATTATTTAGAACAAGAGTCACCATAGTAAAAAGCGGCATTTGGTGAGAATCAAGGGATACCAATAAAGAGATGTCAATTGCAATAAGGAAAACAGTTCTAAAATGCAATACATAAACTATGTTTTTATATGCATGTGAGAGATAGGCAATGAGCAAACAGGGAGAAAGGCAATGAGCAGACAGAGAGACAGACAATGAGCAAACAGGGAGATAGGCAATGAGCAGACAGCGAGATAGACAATGAGCAGACAGAGAGACAGACAATGAGCAGACAGGGAGATAGGCAATGAGCAGACAGAGAGACAGACAATGAGCAAACAGGGAGATAGGCAATGAGCAGACAGAGAGACAGACAATGAGCAGACAGGGAGATAGGCAATGAGCAGACAGCGAGATAGACAATGAGCAGACAGAGAGACAGACAATGAGCAGACAGGGAGATAGGCAATGAGCAGACAGGGAGATAGGCAATGAGAAGACAGAGAGATAGGCAATGAGCAGACAGGAGATAGACAATGAGTAGACAGGGAGAAAGGTAATGAGCAGACATAGAGATAGGCAATGAGCAGAGAGGGAGATAGGCAATGAGAAGACAGGGAGATAGGCAATGAGCAGACAGGAGATAGACAATGAGTAGACAGGGAGAAAGGTAATGAGCAGACATAGAGATAGGCAATGAGCAGACAGAGAGATAGGTAATGAGCAGACAGGGAGATAGGCAATGAGCAGACAGGGAGATAGGCAATGAGCAGACAGGGAGACAGGCAATGAGCAGACGGGGAGATAGGCAATGAGCAGACAGGGAGACAGGCAATGAGCAGACAGGGAGATAAGCAGTGAGGAGACAGGCTGATCCTGGTAACTGTTAACAAGTGTGACAAGACGGAACATTAACTGGTAGAGGCATTTGTGGTTAAGTGATAAAAATGTCTGCCCTATTCTCTGAATGTCGTGAGTTCGTTTCACAGACTGCGTCGCTCTGTTTACGAGCACAGTTTTTAGGGAGATTTGTGGGGATCGTCACTACGGCTAAGGTGTTCGTGCTTTGTGATACGGCCTTGGCAGACGGCTAGCCTTTCTGCAGTTATCGGACTGTGTGTTGAAAAATAACAGAGATGTTGTTGCTGGCTTGTTCTTGGTAAATGAACACACACCGTCGGAAGATGCTATTATTTATATAGGTAGTTCTGTGATTTGTTGCGAAGGGCATGGGCTTTCACGGCAAGAACGGAGGGGGAAAGTGATTAAAGATGAAAGTGAGGCCTTTGCTTTTACCCCCAGTAGAATGACAATGGAGGTCGTGGCTGTCACAAAGGAACTACAATGGCTGACAATTCAGGAGTTCACCAATGCGTGTTTGCTCAGCTACTGAATGTGCCGGCTACAGAAGATCAAGGCGGGGTACATTGTAGAACAATGGCTCCATCTGATACAGGACGCAGCGTATCGCAAAATCCCCCTTATTTCTGTCCTAGGTATGCTTATGTGAAAGGCAATGAGAGAGCAGACACTCTGGCTGGCAATGCGATTAACAGACATGGGCCCTGAATGGATAGGAAAGACAACATTGAAAGACGTAACGCTGTGAGGATTTCAATTTCGTAGAGATTGATTTTTTTCACTGAATTTACTGCATACCCCTCGTATACCAATTGGAGCGGCGAGACAAGAAAACCACGCGCGGTCAATCCGTCGTTACATTAGCCAGAACAATAGGGCAGTTATTAGTCTAAAAGCTCTTGGAGACACACTCAGGAGGAGATCGGAGCAGTTATGGTCATATCCGATGTGCGATAAAGATGATCTTGAAGTGAACAATGAACAAAGCTAATAATAAGACATTCAGACACAGTCTTACTTCTCTTATGTTCCCTGTGTTTACCAACAATTTGGCAGGCCTCTCTTTTGCATTTTTAGCACCATAAGTTTCCCGAGACTTGAAGTTGTCCGATTTACACACCTCTTCCTTCTGGTTCTTCAGACTGGGCAACGGCCAAGTCAGCCTGTTTCCCAACCGGAACTTCATCACAGAGGAAGTGACCTTTGCCATCTCCACACATGCGTAGCGTGGTAAGCAGCCATTACTGAACAATTCAAGCAGGACTCGTCGATCTTTCATGTGCTGGCTTTCTAGATTAAGACAGTCGTATTTTCCATGGTTCTCTGTGTGCAGTGAGTAGGCGTGGATGTTGAAATTAACATCGGCATGGGAACTGCTTTCAATCCATCTGTAATAGGAACAAAACACTGGATTGTAGAAAATAATTGAAGATTTTTGTCGTCAAAGCGTTTTTCATTCATCGCTGTTTGTTTGTTTGTGTGCGTTCAGCGGTTGTAAACTACGGCGGAAAGTCCTGGTTGTGCTGCGATTTCTGGACTTTTCCTTGTTCCAGGACCTGAGTTGTGCATGCAAATCTGTTTTAAAAATCTTGCCTATTTGTATAATCTTATTATTATACTGTGCACTTTCTCAAAAGGAAACAAAAAATTCATGAGGAAAAGACACTGTGGATGTGACACAAGATGTCCCCGTGTGAGTTCCGTGGTCCCATTTAGGAAACAGAAAATAGGCCATCTCTCGCACTTTAAGCATGTCATCAAAGGAGATTAATTGAACGTTTGCTTTAATATGATTGTTGGGCCAGAATGCACAAGTATAACAGCCTAGTGGGAAAACAACACAATGTGCGAACGCAACAGAAGAAGTAGCAGTAGCAGCAGCAGAAGAAGAACAAGAACAAAAAGAAGAACAAGAACAAGAACAAAAAGAAGAAGAAGAAAAATTACATAAAGTCAATCTACCTGGGTTTTTAAGAAATTAATCAGATGCTATGTCTATACTTGGCAACACTGGGTGTCCAACAGCCTGTTGTCTGCCGTTCTGACTGTGCATTCTCAAACTGCGCTCTCCGTCAATCTCTTGTATCAACCACCCATATATCACTGTTTCTCTGTTTCTGTGCCTTTAAACATGAAGTGACAAGGACTACAGCCATACGATCATTACGTTCACTGCCCAACAAGGAACCCAACTTTGTCAAGATGCCAAGAATTGTCCGGGTTTCATAACTGGTACAAAGGCTTCAAAATAGTGGTTCTTGAGAAGAATGCATACACTATCGTTGAATTATAGGAAAACCGACGAAAGAGTTCTCCCTGAGGCAGAGGTTTGAGGTTCGATGTTTAAACAACAGACCAACAAAATGGCACACGGGTAGTAGCCCATAAGTGTTCCGTTCTTCTTCTAACTCAAGTCTGAGTCCAAAGAAGCGCAGCACAGTGCACAGGCTCTGTAGCAGCGGCAACGATCCTGAAATACTTTAGGTAGATTTTCAACTCCAAATTTACGTGCGCAATAAAACACACGTTCGTCCGATCTCACTACCTAGAGACCCGTGGGAATTACTAGAAGTCCAAGTCCACGTTAAAAATTCCCAGTCCCCACTGGAGATTGAACCTGGAACCTTCACCACGTGATGCGGACACCATGCCTCGGGATCACGCAACTCCGCTCCTGGAAGCAGACGAAGGCCTTAAACTGATTACAGAAGTAGGACAGAGTCGGCCAGTGTTAACGGACATGTTATGAGAACGAATGGACTCTAGGACTTAAGCGACAACTGGCAAGACCTCTATTGCTGGTGGGAAAAAGAGCACAGAGAAGGTGAAGTGATACATACATAGATAGCTTGTCCGTACAGATAAGGGGGGGGGGGGAGATACAAGGGCACTGACCTGATCCGTGATTCTAGTGAACGTGTGATATGGCAAAACAAGATGACCTACGCCAATTGGAGGCCTATAGTTAGGTGAATCTCTAAAACCACAGGCCCCAAAACAAGACGATTACTTTACTATGGACAGATCAGAATAAGTTGGGATTCTGCTCCTCAGAACGGGCACAACAGATTAGGCAGCCACCTGTATACGAAATGTAAGATAGGCGTGTCAGCCATGTGCACGAGTGGGCAGTCACCCAAGACAGCTTAACATTAAGTCCAACCTTTTGATCAGAACAAATAAAAGTGGAAAGTAAACTCCACGGAGCCCCTTCTTCTTTCTTTTGCCTTTCTAACCCCCAGTGGAAGAAAGGCCCTCAACCAACTCATGCCAAATCGTTCTATACTTCTCTATCGTTTGCAGCTCTCCCCATGTCCTTCCCATCTTTTGAAGTTCATTCTCTAGCTCCTTTCTCCATGTGTTGTTTGGGGTCTTACTTTATTTCTATGCCCCTGTGGGTTAATAAGGACTGTGGGTTAATAAGGATCACTGAGTGAACTTTTTTTCAGGTGAACGAAAGAAAACGAAGAAGAGGAAGAAGAAGAAAGCGCTTATTGGAAAACACATGCTGACGACCAGAAGACGACACACTTACGTTCCTCTGTACTGCTCCTGAAACGTGCACTCGCCGATCTGGTTCTCAGACAGACATTGGCCGCACGTGTGAGTACAGTGCATGCTGTAAGCCATACTGCAGTAGTGAATCATCTCAGGACACAGCTCCAGTTCGTCAGCACAGGTACTGGAGAAGGTCCGCTTGGTGAGCTCTAGGCGCAGAAAGTGCTGAGAAACTTCAGTTGAAGGTTTTTCCGAGGTGTCGCAGATGACCTTCAGCCACAAATAGGCGTTTCTGATATCGTTGAGGGGGTCAGAGGTCCTCAGGCAGAACCATTTTGTGTGAACCTCTGCATGCTGAAGTAGATGTGAATACAGTTAGACTGAGTAATGAACGAATGAACTTTATTTTTAAAGAGTCACATACCGGGCACGCGGGTCAGTGTTACTTTCGGCTACTGAAATCCTTTTTTTCATACACTATTTTTTTCTGAAATTTCAAGCCATGTGGCGTTGGTAGTTATACCTATCCACAACCTTCTGTCTCTTGTACTTACAGTCAGCTCTGATACAGATGTTCCTCCATATCATGATGTCAAACTGTCCGGCATCTTTTCTCTCTGATTTTCTTTGCCTCTCATCCCCTCCAGCTTTTCTACTGTCACAATATACTCAAGTTTTCTGCACCTCATAAGATGACCAAATAATGTAAATTGTCTTTTTCTGATGTGGGCATTCAGTTCTCTTCGCGATTCAGTTTCTTTCAAGACGTCTACTTTATTCTTTTTTAAATTTCGAGGATATTCTCATCATTCGTCTACAAAACCACATCTCCGCAGCCTCCGAATGAGTTTTTCACTAATTTAGCAACTGTTCATGATTCCCCTACGCAAACCAAGATATGATTTATATAGCTTTTAAGAATTCTCTTTTTCGTCTCAGCTGACAAAAGCAGACTGCAATTTTTCATTTTCTGAAATGCTGTCTCTGCTCAAGCTATTCTACAATTGACATCTCTAATACATCTTCCCTCTCATGTTATCAGGGTACACAAGTTCTTAAACATATCAACTTGCTTGAGGTATGTCCCATTTACTTTGATATTGCATTTTGTAGGGTCGGTTTTCTTTGTAATTACCATTACGTCTGTTTCTCTGCTGTTCAAAATAAGACCCTTTTCTATTCAAACTAAGACCCTTGTCTATTCAAACTAAGACCCTTGTCTATTCAAACTAAGACCCTTGTCTATTCAAACTAAGACCCTTGTCTATTCAAACTAAGACCCTTGTCTATTCAAACTAAGACCCTTGTCTATTCAAACTAAGACCCTTGTCTATTCAAACTAAGACCCTTGTCTATTCAAACTAAGACCCTTGTCTATTCAAACTAAGACTCTTGTCTATTCAAACTAAGACCCTTGTCTATTCAAACTAAGACCTCTGTTTTCACTTTCCTTCACAATTATATCCATCATTTCTTGCAGTTGTTTTATGTTCAGCGATCAAAACTATATAAGCAAATCGCAAGTTTTAACAAAATGCCCACAAACCGATATTCCTGGCATACCATGTATGGATCTAATAATTATTTCACTGCTCAAATTAAATAAATCGGGTGATAGTACACATCCCTCTCTAAAGCCTTGTTTAATGTTTTGAAAGGTTTTAATTTGATTGTCAATACTTATGGCTGCTTCTTGTTGCCAGTATATGTTGTTTTATTATTCTCAGACCTGTTTTGGGACAACACAGGTGACAAACCGCCAATCCATAATATTCAAGAGGGACCAAACATATTAAAGTCTGAAGTAAAGAAAGCCATTAAACAGACGAAGCAGGGAAAAGCTGCAGGTCCAGACAACATAACTGCAGAAATGTTAAAATCGTTATCTACTTTTGGAATTGATACTATCACAGAAATATGCAATGACATTTATAACTATGGGTACATTCCCATGGACATGAAAACATCTGTTTTTATCACACTACCCAAGAAATCAAAAGCTGTTGATTGTGAAGATTACAGAAATGTTAGCCTAATGAGTCACGTAACTAAGTTACTCTTGAAGTTAATACAAGCAAGAATTCAAGATAAAACAGAGAAACAAGTTTCTGAAGAGCAATTTGGATTCCGTAAAAACAGTGGTACTCGAGAGGCCATAATTTGTCTAAAGATGCTGACTGAAAAAAATATAGAAGTTCAGAAAAATATTTATGCATGTTTTATAGATTACAAAAAAAAACTTTCGACAGAGTGCAACATGAGCAACTAATTGCAGCTCTTCAAAACATAGGACTAGATGGAAAGGATATCAGACTTATTAGAAACTTATACTGGGAGCAAGAAGCAACAGTAAGATATGACAACATCTGCTCACCCCAGATAGAGATCAAGAAAGGAGTAAGACAAGGATGTGTGCTGTCGCCTAGCCTTTTCAACTTATGTACAGAAACCATTTTTAAAGAAATTGTAGAATTACCAGGACTGCACATCAATGGTAGAATAATAAACAATCTGAGATATGCTGACGACACAGTGTTGCTAGCAGAGAGTGAGCAGGAGTTGCAAGACCTAATGGAGCAAGTAAACAGAAGGAGTGCAGAATTTGGATTAGATATAAACTTGAAAAAGACAAAAACCATGATATTTAGCAAAGAAAATAATCAGCTAACAATGAATATCACAGTGAACGGGGTGAAATTGGAACAAGTTAAAAATTTCTTATATCTTGGACAAGTAATAACATGTGACGGCAGAAGTGAAACAGAAGTCAAGAAAAGAATAGGGATGGCCAAAAACATTTTCAACAACATGCAAAAGTTACTGACATCAAGAGAAATAAGCAATACATTAAAAATGAGAATTGTCAAATGTTATGTATTCTCAACCTTACTGTATGGCACAGAGACATGGACAATGAACAAACTGGAAAATCGTATCAGTTCTTTGGAGATGTGGATTTACAGAAGATTAGGTCGTATTTCATGGTAACAAAAGCTATCAAATAATAGGAAATTGAGAATGAAAAGAGAGTTGCTAGGTGAAATAAAAAAGAGACAAGTGAAATATTTTGGCCACATTAAAAGACATAACAGTATTGTAAAGATCATCCTAGAGGGAAAGGTTCAAGGTAGGCGAGCAAAAGGCAGACAGCGTTACAAGTGGGAGGATAACATCAAGAGATGGACGAACAGCAGTATGAGTGAGTTTACCAGGGCAAGAGACAGTTCTTGTTGGAGATTCATTGCAGCCAACCTTCATTGTGGAGACGGCACCTGATTCGATTCGATTATAATCAGATCTTTACCGTCAATCTTCCATACACAGCATGAAACAGTATACTTCAGGGTATCAATCTGGAATTCCCTACTGCCACCTTCCACATATGTGCACGAGCCGTAATGACATTTACGTCATCAACTGCAAGAGATGTGGCATACAATACATCGGTAAAACGGGTTTACCACTGGCTAACAGGTTCAGGCAATATTTTTTTAACGTGCAGAACGGCGCCCTGAAACCAGTACCGTTGCATTTCAATTTCCAGGACTACCAAGGTGACCACGACATGGAGGTGACAGCCATTAAATCTAACCACTCCAGCGACAGAGTTCACGTCTCTTGAAAATAGCTTTATATAAACTTTGGGAACTCTGCGTCCAGTGGACTAAACTGCCAACGCAGCTTCTTCTATAATCCTAGGAGATAAAGGCTTCATAGCCGCTACGTTCCCGTTTTGTTTGTATTAGTTATACTATGAAGCTCGCTGATATACTTTTCGTTCGGTTTTATCTCTTTCCTTGATATTTTCATGCACAATAGTCGTATTTTGTATATTGTGCATATCTATCTATATCTATATCCTCTTCATGTCGATGTTGACACATAAGGCATTCACAAGTGATCTCTATCGCTGGCGGTCTGCTGCTTTTCTGCCCATGGTATCCCATGTCAGTTTACATTCCTTCATTTCCCCTACTATCGTCCTTCTCCAGGTTTCCTTAGGTCGACCACGTCCTTTTTTTCCCATTTGCTTTCCACCGGAGAGCTGTTTTTGACAGAGTGTCACAAGGCATTCTGCAAACATGTCCAAGCCATCTCCATCGTCTGACTTTAATAACATTTGCCAGTGATGCACATTCTGTATTCCTCCTGTGTTCTTCATTTATGATCTTGTTTGGCAAAAGAATTTGTAGAATTCTCCTTGAACAATAATTTTGAAAAGTCTCAAGTTTATGTGTAATTCCCACTGTCATATTCCAACATTCACTGTATTCCTAAAATGTTGCTCTTTCATATTCTAAGTTTTGTCTTCAAACTAAACCCCTTTTACTTCCATATATTATTAAGCATGGCAAATGCATGATTTGCTTTGTTTATTCTTGATGTTACATCCTTATACATCCTTACATCCTACATATTTAAGATAATTGGATTTTCTGTTTTAAAATTATTTCTCATTACTTGAGTTTGACTGGTGTTTATTTTGAATCCTATCTTAAGGGCTGTTGTTGAAAGTCTTTCCATCTTTTCCCATCGTTTACATGACGGCTTGATATAAGGCTGATGTCATCTGCATAGTCCAGATCCTCTAAAACAGAGGTGAGTGACCACCTGATGCCTCTTTTTCTATTTCGTGTAACTTCCTTCATCTGCCAGTCAATGGCCGAATTGAACAAAAAGGGGGATAGTAGGCATCCCTGTCTGAATCCTGTGTTGACAAAGAAACTTTCTGTTGTATAATTAAATCTAATGATGGCACTATTGAAAGGTCAGTTTTTCGTAAAGACACTTGGACGGGCCAATACATCCATTTCAACAGTTTTGCACCTTTGCAAAACAAACGTGGTCTAGTGAGGACATTATTCCACCGTGCTAGGAAGATTTGTTCCATCGACACGCTACAAGCTGAGTTTGAAACAATTAAACAAACACTGCTTTCTAATGGATATCCAGGTGGCTTTATTGCCATTGCCAGCCGCCTAAACCAGTTACCTTAGAAATTTCGGTGCCAAAAAAACTAGCCTACATACATCCAACGTTTCAGGGAGACGACGTCATGCAACGTATATATGACCGACTCAAAACAGCAGTCCGTCAAACCTTTTACGCAGCCATGCCTGTTATGAGATTTAAAACCACCAGGATTCCTACACCACCAGTAAAAGAACCAGTGTCGACGTACGCCAGATCTAACTGTATATACCAATTTAAATGCACCTGTAACGCTGCATATGTGGGTAGAACTGATCGACGACTGGAACAACGGGTTGCTGAACATATTCCACTATGTGTGGTAAAAGCAATGCAGAACACTAACACCTCAACAACAACGAATCAGGTGACTGGTCGACAAA